TATATTCTTAAATAGCGTGGGGCCGTTGTAACGTTTGCTCTCGCACGAACTCACCCGCACCCGCTTTTTCGGAATATAGTGGTTACGCTCCTTTCTGTGAGTCTTTTTTCTCCAGCACTAGGCACTGGAGCGGGTTAGCAGCAGATACCACAGGTCGGCGAATCAGCAGATATAACAGTAATCATCATGACACGTGGGGTTTATGACCAAAGTTCTTCTGTTTGGTTCTAAGGCACTTAGGCAGATCATCAAACAATTTTTTGTAGAAAGCAAGCAAACTGCCAATTGTATAGTTGGCGATTAATAACGAGACTGAGCGGACCTTCATGCAGCCAGCGAATGGGTATACTAACCCTGGTGTCATTGTTAGCCTTTGGGAATTGTGACTTTGTTAGTTGAAACTCGTACACAACTATTCTTCTGAGCGTCCAAACTACTTCTAAGCTGAGCAACATGCAACATATTGTAAACCGAAACTCGTGACTACTGACGGCAACAGTCGGCAACGAGGCCACTCAACTCATTCCGAAAAGCTGAAACAGACAGAAAAGCACCTTCTGCTTCTCAAAACAAAACAGCCTTCAATGATCCAGCGGCTAGGATCAACTTAAACGTAGATAGCCTGTTTGGTTTTTGTAGAACCCTTGTCCGAATTCCGCCGAGCGAATGTAGGATACGATGGGGGCATTCGAAAAGGCCGTTTACATGCTAGAATCCGACTGGTAGATATCGAATAGTACTTGCTTGCTTCATAGACTCATAGATGACTCAGATTATGTCAAATCACCATAGGCGATCATGCAAAGTTGAGGGGGACGGAGCAGTCAGGATGTCAGGTTTGGGTTCGATCCACGGATCTTTTCTTCAAAAAAGTCGCGCCCTAACTAATGACCTGCCTCGGACAGAAGAGAAAACGCGCGGATGTCTGCATACTGGAAGGAATGATGTGTTCGGCCCACCTTTAGGCTAGGGAGATCTTACTGTGAGAATCGCTGCGCCCTATCGTTTCAAGAATTTAATGTTCCTAGACTGGTTCCAAAGTGTTCTCGGCTGACACGTACTCCTCACTTCCGTCAGCTCAGCTAATCCTCTGTCACCTTTACATAGGAATCGCCTTTGTATCCTTACTGCTCCTGGTCGAAAGTGCCAATCGATGTCACTGGCATTCTTGTGGTCAGTTTCTAAGTTGCCTGAATGAGTATCTGGATGTGTCAGCACCTATGAGTGTTTATGGCAAGCTGTCAACAAGCCCCTCCTTACCCAGTTTTATTCTTTTCTTCACAATAAGTCTTTCAAATAAATCATAGCAACATGAAACCGAAGCATCAGTGTTGAATACTGATATTCTGTAGTGGACGATGATGATGAGGACCAGTATATTAGCCGATTATGCATCAGGCCATCGCTCACATATAGGATCCAAGATATCTGTAGACATTGTTTTGCCTTTGGCGTAAAAACTCCATCAGTTTAATTGACTGGGCTACAAGGTTGATCGCTTTTCGAGGGAAGAAAAAGAAGCAACTAATAAATCCATTTCTAGTAAACCAGTGCTGTACCCGCTTGGAAGTTTTGTTTGTCAGACAAACTTTAAGAAGATTTGCTTCAATGTCCGCTTAGCCTGGTGTCCTTCATATGAGGTTTACAGCTGACTGTCCGTACGGATGGGCTAGTACTGCGAGAGCCGGGTAAGCGGGGTCTGGTCGGGCCATCCATCACTTCTGATAATGATTCCACTCTACTACGTTTCATATCAGCTATAACACCGTCTTATTCATAATAGATGCTTACCACTGTCCACCATCTAAGCCGTCTAGTGGGATTCATAGTCCCCACCCCAACACTCCCCCGATTTCCAGATCCAGTCCACGTCATCTGTCGAGCTCATGTCACTCCATCACCCAATAGTTGACCAGCCCCAGATATCGATCGGCACTTCCGGTAGCTTTGGTTATTTCCCTTTTGTTTCCAGCAAATAAGGTGTGCGGTTCTGTGGTCATTTGTCCTGTGTAGGGGTTCGTTTTTCCAAAACGACTTCCACCTGACCTCACATTGTGGTGAGCTGGAAGAGATAACCGACGATCGTGTGGACCATGGAACCACAGTACTTTTCTAAATAGGGTATTTAGACAAATCCCTGCAGGGCTGTAAAGTGTGTAAAGTGTACCACAATGGGATATTACGAACGGGACTGTCAGAAAGATGGCAAGACGTTTCACCGGCAGGGAAGGGTTGATATTTTATTTAGACAAATCCCTGCAGGGCTGTAAAGTGTGTAAAGTGTACCACAATGGCAGCAGTGAGAACCGAAAAACGGGCTTGGGAACATACGGAAGTCCACAATATGCGCGGTACACCGGTATTCGATATGCAGCGCGGCAATGCAATAATTCATTCCACTTGCAACAGCGAGGTTCAGGAGGCCCGGATGTGGCCAATGTAAGGCAAAGCAGATGCAGACAATGTCGATGTAGAATGTTATACGGCGCTTCATAAGTGGATCTTGAACAATGTGAATTTTGAACGGGGCTTTCAGGTTTACGTTAATGTACACCAGCTGACAAACAAATTGTTTTCGAGATAAGCCCACCCGTCGTGTTTCATCAGAATCTCACCCTTCTCACGCTGTTCGGTCTATATTATCTACTTCCAAAAGGCTGCCTGCTACAAGCCACCGAACAAGTTAACTGAGTTCACTCTGTTACGATAATTCCACATGAAACAGACATCCATGGGCGCATACATTTATCACAGTGCCGTGGGTAGCTGGTGCCGGACTCTGGTGAGGATTTCCTCTTATTTAGCGCTGGTTATTAGTTCACCTGTCGGGAAATGTCATATACATATCCGCGTTTGTAACCAAGGACTTTCAGGATGGAAACAAGTCAGGCATTAGAGCACTGCACTTGCTGGTCCAGATCTGAAGTTATTCTGAAGGCCTTAGAAGCTACTCTAACTACAAGTTGAAAGTTCAATGCCCCAGATGACTTTTAGAAGAACGCTGGTGTTAGACACGGCATTTGCGTCCAAATGCGTGCAATGATCTCTCCCAACTCCTTGCCTAGCTGGCCATCTGATGGTGGAACTTCAGAGATATCAGGTATCTTCTGGCTACTGGAAGTATCCTTAGGTGTGTTAATGAAGAGATGGGCTTGACCAGTTGTCATAGGCACATTCCAAAAACATTTAGCTTGTCCAGGCTTGAAGAAACCTAATGTTAGCTTATGCAATGTGGAAAGCTGGATATGTCTGCGCGCTTCCTTCTCATGAAACATCCTGTCGCTCTGACTAAGGGTACCCGAAAGTTGAGATCAAGTCGTTGTGTCTACTTACGACCTGAGACAGATATTTCTAAACTGAACTGATGAAATACTCCTATAAAGCCTGGAAATTTTTCAGCACTTACTGGGAAAAGAAAGCTTTTAATCCGTATGTCGCTGCTACAAAATTTGACGTAGTCCAACCCAGCCCCTATACAGTATTTTATCTTTATTTTGTCATAAATGTGAATTTGTTTTGACTATTTTTCAGTTTCAGCGGGCCAACATGATGGGGGACCTGAGGGACAAAGTGAGTCGCATTTATGCGTACCTTCAGCTAATGTACTGGTAATCAATGTATTGTACCAATACTAGGACATTGTCAGACATGGACCGATTGCGCCCTCAATGGCGCTCGTGCATCCAACCAATTGTCTTCAATGCATAGCTCCCTTCCCAATCCGCCTCCCCCCTAATTAACACTCCACTGATAGTGTTGTATTTGCGCAGTTCATCATTTCCCGCTTCCAATACGCAGCTATCTACCCCACGTCGCCGAATCATTGGTGAACGAAACTGTGGCAGCTACAACCACTGTACGACAAGTACGCGGTTATTGCAGCTGACAATGATGATGATGATGATGATGATGACGATGATGATGATGATGATGATGATGATGAACCTGTGTAGTGTGAATGGCTGATCTATGGTGGGATAGATGACTTTCCGAAGACCATCTAGCGTACCTCAGCATAACTGATTCGATGATCATAGCGGATCAGCAAACTGCCCCGGAGGCACTGACAGTCAAGCACAGATAGTCTCCTGAGACCTTTCACACGCAGCAGTTACGAATGGCTGATCTATGGTGGGATAGATGACATTCCGTAGACCATCTAGCTTACCACAGTATAACTGGCTTGATGATCCTAACGAACCAGCAAAATGCTTCGGAGGCACTGATAATCAAGTACAGATATTCTCCTGAGACCGTCCACACGCAGCAGTCACGTCTCCTACCCATAAATTAGGAGAGATCGGACCACGGCATCGTCCACTCTACCCTTGACAGTCAAGCTGATGTCACATCAAAGCCATAAGTGCCGAAGTTTGGCAAACGCGGCCCTGGACTTCCAAATTCGAGATAACATTTCCTCTCTCGCCAGTCCGCCCTGATTTATGCAGTTGCCCACAAACACGAGCTTATCTACTCAGTCGACCGGTCCACTTGAACAAACTTGATTTGGTAGGGAATGGTAGTGGTAACCGTGACTGCTTAAACCAAGATTCTTTCAAATACAGTTTATACTTAGCAAAATACACTCACTTGCAAATTAATTTGGTTTTTCGACAGACTCACCTGGAACCCATCTGAATCTCTCGTTTGTGATGTTCCAAGGTAACTGAATGTGCTGCACCAGGTCGCCCTATCTTTCATTCGCTGCAATATTCAAGATATCGCGACACACGTATAAACGTGATAAACTGCTCATGAGGTTGCTGGAAATTCTTCAACAGCCTATGACCGGTTTCGCTCTTCTTGGGCCTCACCAGTCAGGTGCAGTTCCCGAGTTTCCGTCAACCTTATGTTCTACTTGAAAGCAAATTGCACGAAATCAGCCAAATATACTCATTTGCGTACCAATTTGGTCTGAAAACTTTGAACCCAGCTGAATCTCTCGTTTGTGATTTTTAAAACAAACATCCTAAACGATTCAGCTGGGTTCCAGATTAGTCCTCCATCACATTGGTATACGAATGGGCGCACTCCGCTGTTCTGGCGCTATTAAATCCCATAACTCGAAGATGCGTGCTTGAGAGCGAGGCAGCAGACAGTTTCCGACATTAGTCGGCTCAAACTGCTCTACTGTTTACAAAACAGGACGGTCTCGTTTATCCGAGTATGAGCCAAACGACGACCTTTTGTGATTAATGCAGGAAAACAAAACTTTCAGCTAAGTTAAGATGACCAAACAGCACAGAGTTGTTACCAAATTGGCGCTTTTGGTACCATCGAAGTCTCAAGTGAAATAATATCTCCGGTCTCACATATGGCCAGTTACTTATTTTCAAATAATGATAATCACGTGATTTCTCAAAAGACAGTGGGGATGTACAATCGGTTGCAAACAGACTTGGCACTAGCAGAGGACCCAACAGATTCTCATTTACTATGCTCGCCCGAAACGAATATTTGGCGTATTCCGCTCCGTCTTCCATTTGGAACAACACGTTTCGAAAGTTATTATAAGGAGGGAAATACTCCGATATCTTGAGACCCTTTGCTATTGGCACGCGAGGCGGCCTGTGTTCCACTCTTTCAGTTGAAAGCTCTAGAAGCGAGATATTCACTTGGACCTCCAGGCAATAGGAATAACATTATTTTTGTTTCAGAAGAGCTTGATAAACGATCGATAGTTTTTATTTGGGCATCAGAAGGAAGAGTGGTCATCATATGAATTCCAGTTGACCTCAACCCCCCTCAAACTAAACTGTCCGAGCACTCACGGCGCCACAAAGACCAGGGAAGATCCACCAATGGCAGCCGAGGGGAATCCTCAGCTGAAGCATCCTGAAGTGGAAGATTAGCGAACCTAACCCAATCAGAATTAATTTGAAACTCCCCCAATCCACCAAAGCAAGATTTTGACAACCTCACTAACCGACAAAAGCCGTTAATTGATACTCAACACTGATCTAGGGTGATACTCTGAACAGGACTGACTTACTGATTGGTCCCCTGTCAGTCTTATAACCTGGCCAATTTGGTGACCTGATACTTGGCCTGATGAAGCGTTTGTGTCAGAAGCGAAACGTTGCCCAAATAAAAACTACCGATCGTTTATCAAGCTCTTCTGAAACGATAACTCAGTCGGTTCTGAACCTTTTCCAATTGATTGAAAACATTATTTTTGGCTCGGTTTTTCCATGGGAAATAAGGCTGATGGAAATTCAGATACTACTATAATCAAATGAGACCCATGAACAGCGAAACTGATTGTGGTTTTGGGAAAGATTTTCCTCGATCGTCAAAGAAAGAAGTGATATTGTATTCCTAACCGGGATTTCAAATAAACAACATTCCATTTTGTATATCATCAGCCAGTTCCTATTTTTATGACTAACCTTCAAATTCATATGATCCAACTTAGTCTTGGCAACTTAAAGCATGCGTGGGATTGGCCGTCCCAGTTGCTATAAACATGTGAGTATTGGCTTTCGGTAAGGCCTGATGGAGGTCAAATAAGGCTTTTTACTGCTTAGAAAGATATGTGGAAAGAAATTTAGCTGATTTTAATGACTTACCTTGCCTATGCAGGAAACATCGAATCTAAATTCGCCCGAAATGAAACAAGTAACTGCCCGAATGGAGAACTTTTCCGCATCACCAAACCCTGGACCCCGGGACCGCACCTCCACAGGATCGCTTGGAAACAGCGCACTAAAAGTTCACCGGCCATCTAAATTTGCCTATTGTAATGAGTGTACGGAAACGCCAATTACTTATCCTGATGATCCTCTCGCCAGATATATACAACTGGATGCTGAGTTTCTGAAGGACTACTTGAGGAATATTTCATACCATTCATCGCTCGACCCGAATTCCTTTAGAGCTGTCCGAGATGGTACTTTAGACATAGTCTCCGAAGCCCGTCTTACTTCAACAATCTCTGATAATCAATCTGATCACTCTCCAATAATAGGAAGTTCGTTGACTGCAGAAGGAACCGACGTACCATCTACAAGTCGCCTTTCTCGAACTAATAGTTCCACCACCAGTGGAGAAACTACGACAAGGAAGAAGAAGCAACTCTCAGCATGCTTGCAACGTAATCAACCAACATTTCCGGAACATTACCGGCACAGCGATAGAAAAAAGCTGATCTCGAGCTATCCCAATACAACCAGGTAGGCATCGGTTGGTCCTATCGTACGCAACCCAATTTTGAAACTACTGTCAAATAGACAGTAGTCCAAAATGTCAAAGGAGGTGCGCACCCTCAGCTTCCCTGATTCTTGTTTTTCTCCGGCTAGCCAGTGACATACATATTTATCAACAATGATCGTCAGCCGCTGTTGAGAACCAGGGTGTATATTTTCAAAGGTCTCAGGCTAAGAAGAATAAAGAGCGTACAGACGTGGCTAGCGTATCCCAAACTTCCTGACTTAGGCCAACAATCTGAGGAGAAACTAACGTCGAGAATGTCATCGGCGTTGATTAGCATCACCAGTTTTTCGGATTTTCAGCGCAGCACAGACATAACTATACGAACGTTTTTCTAGAAAGTAGGTCAGGAGGAAGTACAGATATTCCTGGTGGAATCACTTCTGCACTAAATCTTTCCTCCAAATATAAGATAGATAGTTCAAGGTGCTTCAACAGTGCCTGACATCACTCTTCACAAGATCCTCAAAGTAAACTGCACGACGTACTTGTTCAAGATGAAACTTGTGTAAAGTGTACACCAATCGGACACTTTGGATAACCGGGCAGCTGAGTTTTGGGTTACGAGCTGAATATGGTCCTTCAACTCTTGGATCGCTGTGAACCTTTCAAGGATTTAGCTCGTCGTTGTTTGATAAAGTCCTCAACTGCAACAGTTACATTCCAGTCCTTCCATGAAGACAGATGATTAGGAAAGACACATAACCAACCCGTCTGGTTGAAAACCTCTTTCTGAGTAGCGATCGAGAAGAGAGCCATATTGGCTGCAACACGGAGTGCGTGCACTTAAAATGTCATATATATATATATATATA